TTTTTTTTTTAATTGGCATATTTAATTAAAATAATCTTAACATAAATTATATAAATTTAACTAATTTTATTTGTGTTATCCTTAATTTATAGCTAATAAATTTCTATTTTGAGATTGTATCAGCCCATCCAGACCGTCGATAACTCATCCAACGGCTCAGCACGCGCTATCCCAACTAGCATCATCTTAGCTACACGTATTCAGTACAAAGCCACGTACACCCACTGAAGCATGTACTAAGCACGACTTAGCGCCAGAAGGAAAAATTGTTCTTCTTTCATGAAATTTAGCTGGTTTTCTTCTTTGATTTCAGAAAGTATTTGGTGTGAACCGCTTTGCTTGTGAGGTATGTATCGTCATCTGATGCGGCAGCGTTTTTTGCTTCATTTTTATTCATTTATTTTGAATTTAGGGAACTGTTGTCTTAGAGCAGGACTAAGGTTCTTCAGAACGTTCGATCATGAAGGTTTTCTTGAATTTCTAAAGGAATCCCAGATTTTGTTTGTCTGTCTATCATTACATTTGCGAACTGCCTTATTCGTGCATTTATGATGAGAATGTTGTGTTTGATGCAATGATTCTAATTGAAGAGAAGAAATGTTTTGCGCAGGCTTCTTCTACGATTTGCGTGAAGGGATCTGAACTATTTCTTCGGTTAAGGTTGGATCGTTTTGCCTGCAAATTCAACATGCGATAGTTTGTGTTGGGTAATCTGGGCAATTTTATGATTTTTTGTCTGGTTGTAAACTCTAGAGAAGTCTGGGAAAAAGCGTGATTAGAATTTCGAGGATGTCCTTTTATGTAAGGGAGGCTCCAATAGCTCCCTTTTAGGAAATGTGGCCCTTTGAAGCTCCTGGGGCCATCTTTGATGAATTTTCGGTATCTACCCATCTTTTGGGGGTGTTTGGCTGCAGGAAAGATTTAGCTTTAGTAGGGTTTAGTAAATCCAGATTTAATAAATCCACCTGTTTGCTAGATTTATTAAATCCGGATTTAACATGATTCAAAGGCAAAATTTGGACCTTAAATCCGAAATTTCATAAATCCATAGAACTTGTGCTTTTTTATGTTTGGTTGGATTTAGTAAAATCCAACGGTTAAATCTTATTAATAGTGCCCTAGCAAATTTTAGCAGATATATGAAGCTCATCCAATGTGCCCACTCAACTACAATAGTTATATTTAGCCTACTAAACTTTGATGGTAGTAGGGAGCCTGCCCAACTAATGAGTTTATGAAGCACACTAAATATTATGGATGTATTGACAACGTGATTACTATAAGAAGGTTACTCACTTCCAAAATGTATTAGGTGCGTACCTAATTTCAACAGGTATATGATGTCTAATCAGTTCTATGGAGTCTATGGAGCCTACCCAATTACATTAATAATTGCAACCTTTCCTGCTCCAATTGTTGTATGTCCCCAAAGGGTACGTCTAGCCTACCAAACCCCAATGAATAAATGGAGCTTGCACAACTTATAGGAGTTTATGGAGTCTACGCTACCCTATCTTCATTAATCTTGAGGAGGATTTTGTTCAGTCTACAATATTTCATGGGACACTTTGTTGTGCGTCCCATCAATATGTCATTATTAGGTTTGACACATACCAATTCCCATAAAACATTGTTTTTAAAGTTCATATTTGACAACTAAGAAGAGGAGCTTTGGATGCATCCCAATCTAAGTCTCATGGGAGATGAAATTCATGGTGGCTTCCACTCTCTCTGGCTTGCTATTCAAAATGTAATGATGTAGCTCCAAGTTACACATGCCCACTCTTCAACATGCGGTCATATGTCAAAATGGTGGGACATAGTTTGAATTTTTGTTGAGAATTCACTAGTCAAATTCCAGCAAGTTTATGATAAAAATAATCAACATAAATTATAGTCTACGAAGGATTTCTTTCAACAGTCATTACTTCCACTATAACTGAAGAAAATTTTTTTGTAAGGCATATATTTTTGGTCTTACATGAAGGTTCAAAAGTAAGGGCCTACTATTGGGCCCATAAAAATTCTATCAAGATTAGCATGAATCCCTAAACTATAAATAATATTATGGCTTATTCCAGGTTCGTGAGTTGCTTCAAGCATTGCAAAAGCAAGCTAGTAATGGTTGCAATGAATTAGGTCAAATTTGATACAATTTGGATGTTTACGCTCATTTGTTCTTCAAACATAGATGTATAGGCTCTGTTGTCCTTCAAAATAGTCTAGGTTTAAGCCACCACTCAGCAAGAGTTTATCCACTTAGTTATGGCCGTCATTTCTTGTTTCCTTTCTTGAATTGGTTGCCGCTAGCGACTGTCATCATCAATAATATTACCAACTTATTCGATACTTTCATTGACGCATCTCTATTATTTGACCATGGATATAGGAGGAGAGTGTACTATGTCATGTCATTAATTAGTTTCTTCGACTCTCAAGAAAGAAGAGTGTATGTTTGAAAAATCGTATGGGTTCCATAATTCCCTCTATAAATTATGTACATTTCTATTTTACAATTAAATATGAGCCAAGTATGTGTGTACATCATTGCAATCACCGTCCCAATGCTTTGGCTAATTGAACTCTTGGAGACTTTTTCTAGGTGCTCTAATACTCACATTCAGCACTAACCTTTTATTTTTGTATTGCTTGATGGTTTGGTCGTATCCAAAAATGTTGATGAATATGACATTTAAAAATTTTAGTTGTAAAAAAATCTTAGTTTAAAAAAATCTTTATGATACAAAAGTGATTTTTCACTGTAAATAGAAGTGATGAATGAAGATAGAGTAATCAATCAGAGATGTTTAGGTTTTTCAACAGTTTGGCTTCACACCTATGTGTAATAAGTCATCTAGAATTCTTGTAAAATACTATAAGTACTCCTTTACTCCATGTTGGCAAAGAAACCTTCACAAGTTTCTTCTTTCATCGAATTGTATCTTTGAACTTAGTTGCGGGCTTGGTGTTGCCTCTAATTTTTTCCACAAAAGTAACTTAGCAAAAATACTAGATTAGTATAAAACAAAAATAAAATACAAAATGGCCTACACACGGATATTTAATTTGTGTAGAGCTGAGAGCATATCAAAATAAATTGATCATTGCTAGTAAGCTTTTTTTTTTCAAATTTTTTTAGGGTGGTTGGAAAATATTTGCAAGTGGGAACTTGGGGGATTTTTGGTAGCTAAGCTTTTCAAGAGAGCATAAAGGGCCTTCTAGGGTTAACGCTGAATCCATATATTTAAAGGTATAATGTACATTTTGAATTTGGTCATATGTTAAATTTTGAAATATGAATGGATTTCGTAATATTTCCAATTTCTTATTGCTTTTATTATTACCAACTTATGCTCACCAATAACCATCCATATTTTGATGATGACAGATACACTTTGGAATTTCATAAAATAATATTTTGGGTTTGCTTCAAAAAATCCTCTTGAAATATTGAATCAATGTCTAAAAAGGTGAAATCATAAATTGAGGCATTTTCTCTTAGAGAGGTGAGGCGTAGGACTTGAGACAAATCGAATCATAAACCTCAAAATAGGAAAAAAAACTCAAAATTAAAAAATAACTCATAAATTTGATAAAGAACTATCAATATATCTATTTTGTTTATTTTTATTAAAACATAAATCATAATTCATAATGTTAGATATTGATATAAAATTAAAGTGAAATGAGATCTAAGGTAAGCATTTATTTAAAATTTAAATATACTAGCAGGATTAAGCCTCACAACGGTCTCATTATCACTATCTTCATTTTCAAAAGAATTATCTTATATAATAATGTTATTATCTTTGATTCCTTCTTATTAGCATATTTCAAATCTTTATTCATCTTTTTTTTCTTGTTTTTTTATTAATTAATATAAGATGTAATATAATTTAGGAAAAAATAATAAATTAATTATGCTTGAATAATATTTTGACTATTTTTAGGCATTATATCAAATATATTAGTTTTAATTATAATATAATATAATATATTATAAAGTAATATATTAATAATATAATGGGGGACTTATAAAAGCATCACATAGTGCAAATATATTTACATGTACAACACCTAAATTTTGATATATATTTATATAACAATTTATTTTCATTATCACATTAGAACATATATTTGAAATGGTTTGTTTTAACTTGAGAAAAGTTAATATTAGTGATATTTTGATGTGATGGTGAAGATTAGGATGTTATCGAAGTAAATATTAAAATTTTGGTGTTAGATTTGTAAATACATAAGTATTATGTGGCATTTATGTAGTCTATCATATAATAAATTATAATCATTTTTAAATAAACAAATTGATGCACCGCCTCAAATGTTTCAAGGCATCCTTAGAGAAAAAAGCGTGAGCCTTATGAGTGAAAGTGAGGCTTAAGCATTCCAACAAATTTTGAGTGCCTCGGTTCAAGGCACGCCTTAGGCGTATTGCTCGAACCCCTATAAACAATGTATAGAATGAAGAAAACAAAAAAGAAATGGTTTTGTAGTGTTAAGTAACTTGATACTATAGAGATATTGATTAACAAAATGAACTAGAGTGTATCTTATTATATGTTTCTCTCCTACGGTCACATCAAAATTTGTAGTTACGATCGCCAAATATTTGATACAACATAGATTGTATTTATATAGTAAAAAAATAAAATTTCTCAATTCAAAATAACATTTTAATCATCCTCCTTGTCATCATCATAGGTGTAAGGAACTATTTTTGGATGGTGGTTGCATGTTTACTTGCGACTGTTGTATCATACACCCTTATATTTTATCTTTTATCAATCCAATGACCTAATTGCATCACACCGTTTATGAGTTCCTAGATGGTGTGAACGGATCATAATAGGTTTTGGGATTGTTTGTCGTATGATATGGAGGAAAAATATGAGAAACCCATAAGGATCGGAAGGGAAAATTGGTTATGATTGTTTTATAGTGGAAAAACAACAAGGAACACCAATCAGTGACAAAATCGACAATATACAAATGTTGAGGAAGATCCATCAACTATTCTTGATCATGCTACAATTACACCACTAGAGAGAGAATATGATACAACACTCAATATTGGAGAAAGCTAAAGAAGAAAATCTCGAATAACATTAAAATAAAATAAAAAATTATAAATCAAGCTTTAAGCAAATTTATATAAAGGCAACAAAGAAAGCCCTAATAATATTCTAAATAAGATAATTGATAACCCCTATAGAAGATCGACTAGCTCAAGGGGGTGGAATTCTCTTAATCGACCTAATCAAGAATTAAATGAGTTGACTCATTTGTTTCTCGCATCCATCTGGGACAAACAATGCCCATGTCTTTCTC